CAAATTTGAAGGGAGCTATGGTCTCAGAGCTTAAATTGTGAAATTCTGGTTCACAGAAGTCCAAAATACATGTTCAGAATCTATGTAAGGAATAAACCTCCTTCTGACCACAATCGAGAGATGAGACTAACCTGGTTATCAGATGGAGAGTATTGCAGAGATGATTATAGTAGATAAAAATGAAAAACCTGACCAGAATGATTAAAACCTTGTCATTAGATTTCCTTTTGGACACATTTTGAATTTGCACTGGTATTAAATATTTTCTGTTTTCTTTTGAGCTGGAGTTTATCTCTGTGGTATTTTGCTATTGTTGGTAGCCTCTTTGACTTTCTGTTTTGCACTTTTATCTGTGTTTTGGTATATGAAACCTAGCATGGGTGAATTGATAGAGATTAAGATTTCCTGGGGGTGGTACATCAGGGGAGATTAGGAGGTCATGAGGAGCTAATAACAAGGCATAAAAGAAAGAAAATGTTTTTAACTGATTGTGGTAGTGATTGTACTTCTTGATACAACTAAACTATTGAATTGTATGATGTCTAGAGTATGTCATAATAAAATATTTCTTTTTTTTTAAAGAATCTATTTAATATTCTTTACTAAAACCATGATTCAAAGGGGTCCATTCTCCTTCAGACTTCCTTATTCATTTTCCAGGTTACATATGCATATCCTTGGCTTGGGGAACCTCACCTTTGTCCTCAAGGTGACATCTCTCTGTTTTAACCCTTTAAATAAGTCTTTTTTCCCCCAGTGGATTTGTCCAATGTAACAAGCCATACATTTGTCCAATGTAACAAGCCATTTGTCCAATGTAACAAGCCAATTCTTGACTCATTCTTCCATAGGTACTGATTGTGGATCCAACTAACGTGAAATACTTGGCAATTTTAATCTTTTCTGCTTTACCTGTTGGTCCAGTTGTGAGGATTTTTGTTTTCCTTATATTGAGGTTTACTCTATATAGAAGGCTGTAATCTTTGATTACATAAAGTTACCTCCTAGAAGAGTAGTTCTAATCTGTCACATGAGGTAATGAGGTTGCTGTGGGTTGAAATAGATTTGACAGTTTCTAACATCAACAACATAGTACAAATATTTTGAATGCCAATGTTGTCTTTCCCCCCTTAATGTATCATAACTCAACAGAAGGGCCAGAATTAAAAATACTCAAACTCACTGTCATTAATTGAGTTGATTTTGGTGCATAGTGACCCTATAGGATAGGGTAGAACTACTCCTGTGGAATTCCCAAACTAAATCTTTATGGGAGCAGAGAATCTCATTCCCCACCCCCCCACCCCCCAGCCCCTAGTGCATGGTGTTTTTTCTTCTGTTCTTATGGTTAGCAGCTTCATACATAAGCCACTACACCACCAAAGCTCCTCTCCTTCCTCTCTGTCTTCTCTCGCATCTTTTCTCAACTGTCATGATTGGAATTTGTACTCTGGGAAGAGTGAAATATGTGCAGCCTTCAGTGAGGAGACTCTTGAGGTGCCGGGACAAGCCTTGGACTATCAGTTTACTCAAAGAACAGTAAATTCTAATACACCTTCTTGGATGATGGGCACTCATTAGGAGATCCTCTGTCCTTCTGTCCTTTTAAGGATCACCGTGGCATGTCATCACCTTCCAGATAGCTAGACACAGAAGCTACCACAGCTAGCCTGCCAGAGCCATGGTGACCTCTAGTCCTTTCAGGTCTAGCTTGATCTTGAGGCTTATCTTTGGAAGAGTGCCATTGCTCTGAGCTCAGCAGTCCCTGACTCACTTAAAAGAAGCTCTTTCGCTTCAGGCATGCAGTGGGCAGCCTCATACTTACCCACACAGGTGTGGATCGGCATACTCATTTTCATTCCCACAAGTGCGCAGAGGAAAGTATACTTACTTTCCTTGACTCCATAGGATTATGTAGGCATCTTCACCCTTTTCCCCATGGGTGTGGTGGGAATACTCTTTCTCAACCCCACAGGGGTGGGTGGGTGGGTGGGCATGCTCACCTTGTGTGGCTATGAGTCGACAATCTTATGTTTATCTGTGCAAAACTTGTTAGCATAGTTAGTGTAGTATAGTTATTAATTAAGATCCTTGGTTGCACAACAGGTATGCACTCAGTTGCTAATTGAAAGGTTGGTGGTTTAAATCTGCCTGCTGCTCTTATGGGAGAAAGATGTGACCATCTATTGTAGTCAAGATTATAGCATTAGAAATCCTACGGGACAGTTGTAATGTTTGCTATAGAGTTGCTATGAGTTCTAATCAACTTGAAGACAATGAGTATGGTTTTGGTTTATGGTTATTAGTGGAAACATGGGTACATTTGAAAACATGCTTGTGGATAGGAGAAGCACACACTTAGGGAAACTCCTCATTTTCATGGGACATATTTTACATTTATGCATAATGTCTACACCTGTGAGAACTTCCAAAAGTCATGGGAAAATTCCATTCTTTTAAAATACTTTTTAAAATTTTATATATATAAAATGGGGGTACAATATAGTGTACCCCAGTGAGATCCCTGTGTGGTGAAAACAGTTTGCAGTTGACTGGTAATAGAAAAGTTGGCAGTTCAAACTCACCCAGAAGAACTATGGAATAAAAGATCAGGCAACATGTTCTATAAATATTACAACAAAAGAACAAACAAACATAAAATATGGAGTAATTCTACTCTGTCTTTAGTTGGAACCAATTTGTCATAAAGGCCACAACATATATAATCCAAACAATTTGTACCTCAATAACACAGACATTTTTCATTTCCCTTTTACTTTTCTTAGGCTAATGGTGGCATTGGTTCCTGATCCTGCCTCTCAGGCTCTTTACAGATTCACGTGTGAGGGACTTCTGGGTCTTATGGAAACATAAGTTCTAAGAAAAGCTCTCTAAGAGGAATGGTTGAATGCCTGCACAGTAAGTGATGCAGGCAAAGCTAGCACCCAGAGATTTTCACAGTGGCTCAGAGACTGATGTGTGAGTGAATGTCATCTCTAGATTAGCCCTCTAAGTTTATATATTGAAAAACGGAGGCTCCAGAGGGTCAATTAAAGATCTGTAAAAGATATTATGCTAGTTTAATATAAAATTTCATACAATGGATCATGTTTAATAGAAGCAATTATCCTGATAACTTCCTAGACTAACACTACATTTTTTTATTTCTATAATGAATGGTTATTAAATTTGTAAATGTATAAAGTATAAAGTTCTAAAGGGCACATGTGCTTTGTACTCGTGACACAATAATGGCTACATCCCTCACAGTGTTCACTGTGTCCTCCAGACATCGGGGGAACTTAGGTAAGTGACCTACCTATTCTCAATGCTGGGACTTTGAGAGTCTGACACTGCTCTGTAATCAGCCTTTTTCTGTGTTGCAGACTGGGCTTTCCATTGATGGTGGTCTCCTGCACAGTTGGGATGTGCTATCTCCTGGTTGCTCATGTTGTAGTGGAATGGAATTAAACTTGTCCCATCATCAACTTCAAGCTGTACCTTGATGGCCTAAGAACTCTTTTTGGATGCAAGAACAGGTGCTCACTCTGAGGATGCTGCATGGTGGCGATACTGCAGGATGAAGCTATTGGCACACAGGTGGATGCTGCCATGTTGAATGTCTTTCCTCTCAAAATACAGAAAATATAAATACTTGAGGTTTCATTACATTAAAATGTTTACTATTTCAAAGCTTTTATTTTTTTGCTATACTATATAGGAAAAGGTACATATGACGCATTCTACTTCTCAAATGGCTTATGATTCTTTTAAGACTATATACAGTTTTTCTCCATGTAATCACTTTGCAGGTTAGAATAATTAGCATTCAAATGTGTGCTCTAAATAAACATTATTCCTGTGAAATGGAATACAAGTTTTCAGCAAACTATTCCTTGGAAGAAGTTATATGTCAGGGACAGAGCAGGGGCTCCTGACCGGCCTGTTAAGGGAATGAATATAAGACCCTGTACGAACAAGTTATGAACCAAGGACCCTATGAAAACTGGCTTGATAAACACCTTAACCTTGAAGCCAGGCCCTGGTAAATATTCTATCACAGAACTGTCCCTGGAGATAAATCCAAAATCATGCTCACTCAGACCCTGATATAAGATAAAATGAAGAGACTCAAAGATGAACTGAGCAACTAATTGGAAAGTTGCTTGACCATCTGCAAGGGAGTAACCCCCTCTTGTTTTAAAAACAAGAAATGTTACTTAGACAAGGTCCTTTCTCAACTAGCGAGGTGTGACCCACTTCACTCCCAGAGCAAAATGTATCTTGTGTATGCTTTATTTCTTTTGAAGTGATCCTATGCTTTAAAAAAAACCATGGCTGGACTCTTGGCTGCTGTGTGCATGTGTGTGAGCATGCCTTATTTCTGGGCCCTTACAAACCACAGCAGTCTGGGACATGCTAGTACCCCATGAGTGACAACCTGAGCATTAAACTTCAAGCTATGGAATTTTTACTTTCTCATTTTTCCAGTCACTGATATTATGTAAAATTGTATTTTATCTACTTATATTTTTTCTGGGGGGTTTCAATCATTAATTAAAATACAGAAATTTGACTTGTCATGTATTATTTCACAACTGCCTTTTAAATTTCTTGTTTTGAATTAAGTGAAGGTTTACAGAGTGGATCATCAGTTTTGCATACAATAATCCATACACAATTTGTTTCTGCTCATCCATCTAAATCCCCTCAATGCACCATCACTTATTCTGCACTCTCCCTGTTTCCTGTTTCCATCCCTCCTTCTTCCCTAACCCTCTGAACTTTTTCCTTGGGGAAATGCTGCACCAACCAAGTTTATTTTAGTAATATTTTACATATTAAATTACCTGGAATAATGGTGCCTTCTATTTCCATTGATTGACTGACAACAAGGTATGCAGGCTCTGCGTGGTTGTACCACTTTTTACCTGGAAGAAGAGTCTCATCATATTTTTAAAATCATTTGTTGGGGCTTCTTGCAGCTCTTATCACAATCCAGCCAACCAACCATTGTGTCATAAATATATTTTTACAAACAAATTAAAGCACCAGTATCTGAATAATATCCTTTAACATTTTCATAAACTATGATAGTTTTTTGTTCATTTTCAATTTTGTTTCAGAGCCACATGTACATACAGAAAGAGCTGTATATGGCTTGAGAGGCACAGTTTACTGACCCTTTATCTAACCTATTGCTTTATCACCCATTCCCCATCCTCCCCTTTCCCAACCCTTTAACAACCTCCAAGGTCTATTGCCTTTGGTATGAGTCTAGTTTTGTAGTAGTTGTTGTTTTCTCCTTAGAACAGTGGTCTAGTATAATATTTGTCCTTCTATGATTAACTTCATTCAGCATATTGTTCTCCAGGTACACGATGTCCTTCGTGATTTCATCATCTTTTTTTAAACTGATGTATTGTATTTCATTATGAGTTTGTACCAATGTTTCTTTATCCATTATTCCGCTGATTTGCATTAAAGTTGTTTCAATCTTCTTATTGTTGTGAATATAGTGCTGCAGTAAACATGAGTGTCCCATGTCTTGCTTTCCTACCTGCACTCACACACCTAAATTGCTTGGAGCACATTGAAGCACTGGCAAGCCAAGTTCTGTTTTCAGTTAGAGACCACACACTTGTGCTTGCTTGATTTTTTTTATCATTCTCCCCAGTATAGCATCAGCTCCTGGTTACAGAGAGCTGGGATAGAGACATTAAGCAATTGGCAGAATTCCAAAATCTGTTTCCTACTGTTATAGTAAGAACTTGCCCCACCTCATACTGAAGTAGTATATAACATAAGCACGACAACATCCCAATAGAAATTTCAGAAACTGTCAATCAGTTACTTTAAAACTTAAAAGATGCAGAGAAGTAAAATATTCTCTATTTACAAATATGATCTCACTGCCATCAATTCATTCCCAACTCATATTGATCCTAAAAGACAGAATAGAACTGCCTTTATGTTTTCCAAAAATTTAAATCATAACAGGAGTAGAAAGCCGATCTTTCACTAGTGGAGCAGCTAGTGGTTTCCAAGTTTCTGATGTTACAGTTATCAACCCGGAATATAATCCCCAATATGTCCTGAGCTCTTGACATGATCCTATACATGGATAATCCAAAAGACTCAAGAAAATTGTTGGAACTAACGGAAAGATTCAGCAAAGTTTCAGGTACCAGGTTAGCATACAAAAATCAACAGAAAACCTTTATGCTAACCATGAGGGCTCTGAAAAAAGGAAATCAGGAAAACAGTAATATTTTTACTAGCCACAGAAAAGATGAACTACTTAGAAACAGATATAACCAGAGAATCAAAAGACTGCTATTAAGAGACCTACAAAACACTATTACAAGAAACCAAGAGACCTACATACATGTAAGAATGTTCATAAATAGGAAAACTTAACATTGTAAAAATGTCAATACTACTCAAAATGATCTAAAAGTATAATGCAATACTAATCCAAATTCCAGTATCATTCTTTATAGGGAAAAGAAAGGACCTTTGTCCTTCCTGTATTTCTGTGTTGTTTTGGATACTGCTTTGAGTATGTTGGTTTTTGTGTAGAATTGTCCTGTATGTTGGTCACAAGTTTGTGTGCTGCCACGGTTGATTTGGGGGCCATAATACTCCATTTTGTGTTTTTAGGTGTAGTGGTTTAATTTTTGCAAATTCCTTAAATTTCTCCTTGTCTAAGAATACTTTTATTTCATATTTGAGTAATAATTTTGCTGGATATAAGAGCCTTTGTTGACAGCCCCCCCCCTTTCTTTCACGACTTTATATATGTTACTCTATTGTCTTCTTTTCTGTCTGGTTTCTGCTGAAAAATCTGAGCTTATTCTAATTATTGTTCTTTATCTTGTTTTCTGGCTGCCTTTTGAATTGTTCCTGGTCCTTGATTTTAGAGAGTTTGACTAGAATATGTTATAGAGTTTTCTTTTGGGGGCCCTTCCTGATTGGGGTTCTCTTGGCTTCCTGCATAGTTATATTTTCCTCTTTTATGGTGTGGGGAACATTTTCTTCCAGGAGTTCTGTGGATATTTTGTTTCTTCCTCTTTGGGAATCTATAAATCATGGGTTGTTCCTCCTGAGTGTGTCCCACATTGTTATTAGGCTTATTTTTGGGTCTCCTTTGAATTTTTTGTTGCTGATTCTTCTCTTAGATTGGAGTCCAAAAATTTGTCTTCAGGTTTCAATCTCTTCAATTATATTTCTCTGTTTTTTTAATAGTGTGTAATCCTGAATCATAGCAGTATTTGACTTCTGTTTGGAGTTTTTCTTATAAGACTTTTAGTGAGGTTCCTAATTTTTCTATTCTTTCCCCTTTTTTTCTCAGACTCTTTTCATCTGTTGTACTTGCACAATCATTATTCTTCTGAATTACTTTTTTTTCTGGTAATTCCATAGCCTATACAATTTAAGCCATCTCTTTTTGAGTGTTTATACTGTCATGGCTAGATTGGGTTATAAGGGAGGGGTTGGGGTTAGATGATTTCTGGAGCTAAGAGACTAGAATTCTTGTAGAGTTAGGTTAATTTTAGCTGGTTGTCTTCAAGGATTTGAGGTCCGGTGGCCCAGGGCAAAGGGTGTGGAGTTCACTTTGTTCAGATGGTATTGGTCTCCAAGTGGGGATGGGAGAGAAGGAACTGTGTCTGGTACCTTCCTCTGTAACCTAGTGGGGGCAAGGAGCAAGAGCCAACTTGCTCCTATTTCTCTGCATGGCCTGGGATGGTCTAAATGGCATGCTGACAGGGGGATGGGGTCTTGAGCGAGTCAGCCTGCTCAGGTCAGCTGGCACTTGACCCAGGATGTGGGGCAGTTACTGGAGCCTTGCAAGCTCAAGGTGCCTGGCTTTAGAGCACTGTTAGTGGGGTACTAGCCTTCTAGGGCGTTCAACAGCCAGGACCCTTATGAGCCAAGGGGTGCTCCTCAGTCCGAGGGTACATTTATACCTGGGCTTTCACCTCCATGGGGCCATTACTACTCGAGGGATTGGTAGGGTGTGTGGTCAGTCTGGAGACAAGGGTTATAGAGTCCACAGATGCTGAGTAGTTAATCAGCCTTTCAAGTCTGCTGTGAGATCAGTTTGGCCCAATGGAAGGAAATGCTAGGCCTGTCCCTTTTCCAATCACCCTCTGGCACTCCCACCATCCCTTTATTTCAGAGGGGTCAGGTGGCATGGGTGGGGGTTGCACCTTGGGTCACTTATCTATTGGATTGATCTCCTGACTGCTTGCACTGCACTCTCTTATCCTTATGAATTTATCCTGTACTTGTAGAGGGACTTACTTTCATTGTAATCAGTTAGTCATCTTATCTTCACTGTTTTATTTACATTACATGTGTTTTAACATATATATTGTATTTCATTTTTATTCAGTTCTATTTATTTTTTATTATTCCTCTTTAAACTTCCTCTTTGATTCGTTGATTTTTAAATTTTCAATTATTTTGAGATTTTCCTGTTGTCTTTTTGCTATTGATTTTTAGTTTAATTTCATATGACAAGATAACATACTTTGAATGATTTTAATTCTTTTACAGTTTTAGGGTGTTTTTTTTCTTTAATGAATCAGGATATGGTTTATTTAGATGAATGCTCTATAAGACTTGATAAATATAGAGGAAAGGGGT